CTCTCCATCTTTCTCTTTTTTCTCTCGCTTCTCTCCATCTGTCTCTCATTTCCTCTCGTTTCTCTTCATCTCTCTCTCTCTCTCTCAAACGAATATCGGTTTAAAAAGAAGGGAAGAAATTGGTTTTCGGTCGATAAAAACCTTTTTCGAGATAATTCGATTGACCGATGGAGGGATCGAATTCTAAGAGCGCGATGATGAATCGCGAGATTCGCTCGCACCGTTATCGTTCCGGTTAAACGATTATCGATAAAGAATCCGAGATACGATTACTCGGAACAGAGGTGGTTTCAACCGATTCCTTTCGTAATTCCAATAAAATTTCACACCCTCTCCACGAAATTTTATTCCTTACGGGATTTAAAGTTAATCCCGCGTTAAGATCGTCGATTCTCAACGATAACAATTTTCATATCTCTCGTATTTCTGGTCGAATATACGCATATTTACACGCTAGATATGGACAACTCGACGAGAAGGGGGAAAAAATATTCGTATCAAAACTAACCGAAAGAGAAAAGTGAGGGGGAAAAAAGTTTCGAACGAATGAGATTCATTTCGAGTTTTAATTCGTCAAATATCGGGTGGAGAGAGAGAGAGAGAGAGAGAGAGAAAAAAAAAACGCAACGTCCACTCTCGTAACGGGACGAATTGTTACGTACAAATATTGAAACTACGCGAATCGTGGTAAAAATGGGACGATAAAAAATGGAAAAAAAGAGAGAGAGAGAGAAATAGTGGTGGACGGAGATGGATGGACTCTCCGGCCGAGAGTCGTTTCACGTCTCTCTCTCTCTCTCTCTCTCTCTCTCTCTCTCTCTCTCTCTCTCTCTCTCTCTCTCTCGCTTCAAAATCGGCTTTCATTCTCAGTCGATTGCTCAGTCGAACTCGAACTCGTTCTTCTCTCTCTCTTTCGAGAGAGAGAGAGAGAGAGAGAGAGAGAGAGAGAGGGAAAAAGGCGATAAGATAGAGAAGGTTCGGTCGCGGAGAAGGAAAGGAGCGCGTGTCGGTGAAAATGCTAGCCAGCTGTCTGCACCGGCGAGAGAGAGGAAGAGAAAGCGGAGGGGAGAGTTGGGGTAGGGAGGCTCGAAAACGCGCGTCGGCAGGGTAGACACTTGGAGAATCCCATAAATCAGGTCAGGGTTGGCGACGGGGGTGGCTGCGCGGCGGTAGTTACAGAGGGAGGCTAGGGAACCGGGCGGAGAGGAGAGCTAAGGGAGCCAGCTACGACTCGGAGAGAGAGAGAGAGAGAGNCTCGATGGCAAGGAAGATGAAGCTGCCCAGCAGGGTGTAGGCCACGAGGAGGGCGCATATGCCGAGGTTTATAACGCAGCCCTTGAGAAACGAGTGGTGGCTCGCCTTGTCCGGCACCCCGCCGAAGCAAAGGCACCTCACTTGCCTCGACGGGTGCGTTTTCGAGCGGTCCACCGTCGCCGTCGCGGACCTCTTCAACGACGACGTATTGCCGTTGTTCGCGGGCTTGAAGCCCTCGTAAGCCCTGTAATGTCCCCTTTCCTTCTCCATCCTCCCTCCTCCTCCTCCCTTTTTCCCTTCCCTTCCCTTCGATCACCCCTCGACTCTCTCCTCCTTCCGCTC